TTATAACCCAACTCACTTTTAATATCTAAAAAATATTATGAGATAATTTTTTTTTACAAGAGCTACGAAAAAGCACTTTTGACCTATTGCCATTTGTTCTCACAAAGTTAATTTGGCAAACATTCCCGAAAACAATAATTATATTCAAAGTTTGTTATTTCAGTTCTAATTGTTCCAAATTACATCTCCCTTATAATTGATTCATCCCAGCTGTTTAAACAAGCATTATGCTAGAGAGTTTGAGACGTTTAACATTTTTAGGGACACATTTTTGTATGCTATTACTTTTTACTCTGACGCTGTGAATTTTAAAAAAGTCCAAGTGCGAGGGAAATTGGAGTCAATCAGGTAAATGAGTCTATGTTCCTAGAAGGGTCGGACCCTGCCCAGACGTGTGGGAAGGGGTCAGTTTTTTGTTTGGACCCATCCTTGGGCCGAATACCTTCAACTCTACAAGACTCTCGGTGGATTACATTTTTTAGAATTTTTTTCTCGGAATGCTATTTTAACTCATCCTTTTATGTTTACCCTTCAGGTTTATGGTTATGGAGGAGTTAGTATTGTAGTTGAGGTATCGACTGATAAGATACATCGTTCTGTGGCAAAGATACGAGAAGTGATAAGGGACTATGGAGGAAAGATGGCAGATTCTGGGTCTGTGACATTTAAGTTTAGACGTGTTAGGGTAGTAAATATTAAAGCTACTAATGCTGACAAAGATCAGCTGCTTTCCATTGCTTTGGATGCTGGAGCTGAGGATGTAATTGAACCTCCAACTTATGAAGATGACACTGAAGAGGATAGCTCAGAAAGGTAATTCTCAGCTATTCATTGTGTTTCTCAGTTACAATAAAATTTGTGGTTTTCATCGGAAAGATATGTGACATTTTCTTGGTCTTGGAGAGGAAAACTTGAAACCAGTGATAATGAGATCATCCGTTTGACTCATCAAACCCTTTTTCTTCACCAATTACTGAAGAACATATTAGCTAGTTTGAGTAAAATCATTCCTTTATTATAACGTGGGTGAATTTGAAAGGCTGATGGTAAAATCATAGTTTGATATGCGTGATCAACAATTCATAATTCAGCATCCATGGATGGAACGCATTATCCACTACTGACTGCTCCAATGACAACTCAAGCTTTATAGCACCTTAATTTGAGTAATGAAATCTATGGATAACGATGGAAATTAATTATCTGCATTGAAACCCTAGTTTCTAATATTTAAAGCGAAGACTTTGCAATAGCCTGATGTCATTTTCTGAATTCCATCTGTAGCAATTCTTGTCTTGTTAGAATTGGTATGAGAGAATGGAAATGCTGGCTTCCTATTTAAATGTTTTTGAAATAAAAGAAAATTTCAAATATTTAAATAGATATTTATTGTTGTTCAAATTTTCTAAAATCCGGGAACCAAAATCAATATGAAAAATAGTTACAGTCTATCAAATATATTTATAAAAATCACATTTTTTAGGAGTTATTGGATACAAGAGTATCAAATCTTTCATTGGTCTGAAATTGATTCACTGGGCAGATTTGTTTTACATATATAGGGTAAGCATTTCTTACATCACATGATCTTGTAATCTCTCATACTTAAATTAGTCTTCTTGGTAGCTCTGATGGCTGTAATAATGGCTGAAATATGTTCGAGCCTCTGTTGTTCTGTTTGTTTACCCCTTATAACAAGGAGAGTAGAGCATAAAATTCAAGCTTGCCAACTAGAGTTCATTTTATTTCATTTTGTCAGGTATTATAAAATTGTTGGTTCTTCAGAGAACTATTCATCTATATTATCTAAGCTGCGAGAAGAGGGCATAGATTTTGAGCCTGATAATGGTTCCGAGCTTCTTCCAAATACCACGGTTGAGGTTTGTCTACTGGCTTTTACATGTGCTATTTCATTTGTCTTTCTCCCTTCTCCTTTTGTATTCGTAGTATGACAGAGAATTCTGAAGGTGTAAGTTTAATCTTTGATTCAGTAATATGCAATATCTAAAATGGGTTTGGGAGGTGTTACTTTTTCCTGATTCATTGTTCTGTTCTTCTGTCTGTATTGCATTTTTACAATTATGCATTTTTACAATTATGCATTTGTAGGCAAACTATTCTGGAGAGTATCAATAGTGTTTCTATCAGTAATTTTCCACTTATTCATCATGTTATAAACCATTCCTATTATGTTTAGATTTGGCTTTTCTAAATTAAGCAAAGGCACAGTAAATGATTTCAGTCATTGATGAGAAAATAAACTTTCATATTTGAAACATGCATAATTTGTTGTGGATGTATGGGTACACAACGTTGATAGTTGATTTTGTCATCAATGATTGAGATTTTTCTTGCCTTACACTCTAAAATGAATTACTCACTTTGGAGGGTGCCAGATATCCATTATATTTATCTAACTCTTCATTTTAAAAGATTACACAGAAGTAAAAATCGAAGAGGATTTTTTAAATTCTTTACATTCAGCTCCCCCATCCCACTTTTGTTTTCTTCGTCCAGGTGAGGTGAGAATTTTTATTTTCATAAGGTACTTTCCCTTTAATTTAGCTTCTAATCCTGAATCTAAATGTAGGATTGCTGGGGTACATTCTTGAGTTGAAAATTATTAGCTAAAAGTTTCCAAAGTTTCATGCGGTGAGAATTTCAGAGCTTAATTGGCGTGTGTTTAGCTACTAATGAACNTTATAAACCATTCCTATTATGTTTAGATTTGGCTTTTCTAAATTAAGCAAAGGCACAGTAAATGATTTCAGTCATTGATGAGAAAATAAACTTTCATATTTGAAACATGCATAATTTGTTGTGGATGTATGGGTACACAACGTTGATAGTTGATTTTGTCATCAATGATTGAGATTTTTCTTGCCTTACACTCTAAAATGAATTACTCACTTTGGAGGGTGCCAGATATCCATTATATTTATCTAACTCTTCATTTTAAAAGATTACACAGAAGTAAAAATCGAAGAGGATTTTTTAAATTCTTTACATTCAGCTCCCCCATCCCACTTTTGTTTTCTTCGTCCAGGTGAGGTGAGAATTTTTATTTTCATAAGGTACTTTCCCTTTAATTTAGCTTCTAATCCTGAATCTAAATGTAGGATTGCTGGGGTACATTCTTGAGTTGAAAATTATTAGCTAAAAGTTTCCAAAGTTTCATGCGGTGAAAATTTCAGAGCTTAATTGGCGTGAGTTTAGCTACTAATGAACTATGCAATTAGGGGGAGTACGTGATTCTATTCTATCATATTCTTTAATTGCACACGTAAATATATGATGCTAATTACTAGCATGACTTGACTCCATGAATTCCAAAGTAATTTTTATGTTGCAGCTTTCTTTGTTCACGTTTATTACTTTTCTACAATTGAATTCCATCCTTTAAGTCTGTAGAAATCTCCATTCTCATTCTTTTCTGCGTAAGTTATATGATTCAATGCTTGTAGCCTTGAACTCTTGTTGCAAATAGACAAATCTATAGGGGATTAACTGCAGCTCAAACCCTCTATACACTTTATAAGGATGAGACTGAGCAGGTCTTTGTTGTATATTGATGACGATTATAATGGTATTTTAACGTCTGCATTGAACTTTGAAAAGTAATTCTATTATTTTTCTAAATAAAAAGAGGGATTGTCCTTAACTTCTTTTCAATTAGGAAACATTGGAGTAAAACCTGAGTCAGTTACACTTGATTTTTTCAGGTAGACGATGAGGCTATGGACTTGAACAAGCAACTTATGAGCAAATTACTTGAGCTTGATGATGTTGATGCTGTTTATACCGATCAAAAATAATTATTTTTATGCTTAAAAGCTGTTCATCAGACAACTCAAGGTTCTCTTGGACACTGGAAGCTCCCATCACAAAATGTACCTCTGGTTTATTTACAAAATGAAAATAGGTTCCAAAAGTTATTGGGGATTCCTCAGGTGAATAATTTGTTGATCTGACTGTTTAATCCGATTCCTTTTTTTTTTGAGAGGACGGCCAGATGCTTGCTTTCTGGAGGGGATTTCATTTTGAAATTATTTGATTCAAACGCGAGGATGTTTAAATCATGTACTGTCTTATATTATAAACTGACAAAGTTTAATAATAATAAAACAAGGTAAATCTAGATTCCTTCTGGTTGGGTACGTTGGTCCCGGAGAAATTTCTTTGCACCCATCTACAATTTATATCTGTTCGTATATAGTTGGTCTTATTACGTAGGATGAAGATAGTCGAGTGAACCAGTTTTTCACTCCTTTTTCTAATATTCATTTTTGCATGTAAACCGAGAACCTGAGATATGCTGCTTAGACAGTTTCAAGATGCATTTTTGTACTAGAACAACCAATATAGGCACTGACGTGAGATAAGTTAGACCATACAGAAGAGTTGTTTGTAGTTGATAATTATAAATGATTCAAAGGGGCGCACTCTGGATGTTCTTTGAGATGGCTAAAACGTGCAAGAGCCAATGCCAAAGTGGTCTATCATGGTTCTGAGCTTCATGTTTGAGGCATGTCTTATCCTAGTCCAAAAAACTATTTTATAACATCTGAACACTGGTTAATGCTCTGATCAACAGAACGTGGCCACATGATGGTGCAACGGAATATTCTGACTTTAATAATACACTGTTGCATTGGGTAAGGATTTTTTTTGTGAAAATGTATTAGTAGTTGGAGAACTGAGAAAAAAATGAGATTACTCATTGATATAATACATGCAGTACAATGTACAAAATGCTGAGGGGAAGAGGACGAATCCATAATTGCGACCTTATCATACACATACAATAATATTACACGCTTAAGGATCAGTATCCCTTGTACCCAGTATGGTTGCATAATATATTGTATAGGTGTACTGCTTTCAGTTGCGTCATTTTCTCTGAGCAGATTTTATATTACTAAATAATATTCTGTGATGCTGTTACTCCTTTGGAACCCAGCATCCATGCAACCCATAGGGAAGTCCATAAGGGAACTTGGCCCTAGCAATCTCTTCAAAAGTGGAACCATCCAACAGCAACGCATACCCTTCTCCATTTTTCTCGCTGACAATGGAGATTACCACGCCTACCATTTGACAGAAAGAAAGGTTAGAATGAAGCTGCTGGAGAATTGTAATAAAGAACAAACAACAGGATGAAAAAGAACGCATGCATGCTTGAATTAAAGAACTTCTAACCATCATCTTCCTCTGTTGCTCCTGGTCGTGCAACAAAGAATGGTTCTGAGGGTACGGCACCTTCTTCATGCCAGTTCGTAGCCTTTTTCAATTCTAAATCAAGCTGCATAATATTTTATATCATCAAAGCACATTCTACTAAATATATATGTCCGGAACCGTAGATAAGTTTGAAAGACTCAAATATTAAGTCAAACCTTGGTGAGTGTGTTGGGAAAGTTACAAGGTCGCTGTGCTCCACAAGCATAAGCATATCTGTATTTCTTTCCTAGATTATTAGGGTTTATGCTGCACATGTCCATGCCTTTCCCATGTTCATTTGGGTCCAATGCTGCATCTAGTTCTCCATATGGACTTCCATCCAGTGGTATTCTGAACCGTCCAACCCTGTTAATTAATCAATGTTAAGTAAACCGTAAGTCACTCGTATGCATTACGATCTTTCCGTAATCTAAAGCTAAGATATCCAAATATCAATCACCTAGCATCGGGTAGAACATCTTCACCATTAAAAGAACGAAGGTTCTGTAACCTAAGTCTATCAAGAATGGTAGGATCCGAATTATGCTCACAACAGTCGGCAATAATGGCCGTCACCCTCCCATCTTCGTCTTCCTCCTCATAAGCATTAATGAAATGGAAAGTAACAAACAGAGGTACTTCCACACTTGCCACCTTCAAAATCAAACACAGAGAATCAATCATTAATAAAGTCCATAACATGGAAGATTAAAACAAATCCACAGAGACGTAATAATTAACTATATAACTTACAATATTTCCACTGGTCTTGCACATGACATGCATAAAAGCTTTAGACTGAGGGTGCCACTCAAACTTGTACAAAGGAGTAGGCTCAGCCTTGAGCAGATTCTGAGCACAGTACCTCAACGGCATTTCGGGCACAACAACATAGTGTTCGGTGACAGGAAAAGAGTGAACCCAACCGGGTGAAGACCCGCCCCGGCAATTGACCCGCCCAATTACCCTCCTCTCATTGGTACCGGGCTCCATCCTCACCACAAGGTACCCTGCTCTCACCAAATCCGGCAACAACGTCACAAACTCCTTATCCGTCACAACGGGGTGCGCAGAGTGAATCAGACCCCCCAACGAGTCACTGTACTCGAACTTCCCCACCGTTTCCAGCGTCTCAGGGTCAATCACAATCGACCCCTTCTGCGTCTCCGTCAGACACACCACCCTCCCGTCGCCAAGCTTCACCACCCCGGTGTTCGCGTTGTCCGTCAGCGACGCGCCGGAGAACAGGCTCGCCAGCTCCCCCACATACGCCAGGAAATTCGCCGCCTTTGGCACTTCCGAAAACTCCCGGTAGCATATCTTCTGATTCTTCTTCGCCGCTCGGTACGCCTCCGATTCAAGTTGACGGTGGCCGGCGAATAACCGGCCTTCCTGGAGTCGTAGCTTCACCACCGTGGCGTAACCGTCGAAGAGGTGTCGGAAGTCATAGTCTCCTATGTGCCACATCCCAGGCCCATTCCTCAGGTACGTTCCATTCTGCATGTAACCATTCACATTTATTTATCATCATAAGGTCAAGAACCATTGTCCAAGTAATACAAACAAACGAAAAAACCACTGTTTTTCTTACTATGTACTCAATATTCCTATATATATACAGCGTTATTTTAATCATATGTAGTCAACAAAATGACGTTTGCGTATACATGAGCTTGTGGGTATCATGGAATACACCAACCACTAATGATGAGGACACATATTCAAAGATCCTTTGATGTTGTATTAATTATTTGTTTATGAGTTTTCAGGTTATTAAAAAAAATCCAAAACCTATTTATTGACACAGACTTTTTATTATTTTAATGTGTTTTCTTATAATTAACTATAATATATTCTTTTATTGGTTTTCATTTCTCTGACGTTATACTGCTGTAAATGACCAACAAACCTAGACTAAGCCTGTGATCAAATCGATACTATTGCTTAATTAATTATTATTATTTTTGTAGCTTACAATGGACAGTGTCTATGTGTAGATCCCTGCCGGAGGGAAAAATAAGATTTTTCATTTGGCTTTTGTACTTTAATGGTAACTCGTGTGATATCAATAAAGGTTCATACAAAGATTTAAGTAAAGGTTATATCTCAGTACCATTTAAAACTATGCAGAAAGATATGATATTGGGTGATTTTATTGGAGGTGAAGAGCATGAAGTATATATGAAGTCTTACAAGCCATGGTGGTATATGCCCTTCAACTTGTAACTCTCCTTCCCAGTTCTCCTGCAAGATACTAGTCCATGCAACATGGTGGTGGTGGTGGCGGCCGGCGGTGGTTCCAGAGCGTTGTTCCTCCGGTGTTGGTGGGGTAATCATGGGTAATGAAGGACTTGCAACATTTGCAACGGTTAAGTGTAGGAGTTTGCGTTTGGGTTTATTGACGATGAGTTTATTTGGAGGTAAAATATGATTGATATGATGAGAGATGGGAGGAAGAAGCATAGTTGGGGAAGAAGTGGAGTTTGTGAGTGAAGAAGGCATGGTTGTGAAAGCCATGGAAATGGAAAAAAGAAGAAAATTGAAGGGTTTGGGTTTTGTGAGTGAGAATAATGATGCATATTTATAGGAGGTAAATGATTTTGTGAAGATGAAAATTGGTGTATGGGAATCTTGATTGGTGGAATTCCTTCTCACTACGGGACATACTTTGGTTTTTCTTCAGTCCTTACTTTCACACATTAAATTATACGTATTTTCATGGATTCGACAACTATATCAAGACACAAAGCTTAATATATTATAAACTGCTTTACGATTTTTGACTATATATATATATATATGCTGGAAAGTTAACAACATGTTTATTTATTTTTAATTAATCTTACTTACAGAACTAGTTGCGTGTCATTTTGGTCCTCCGAGTTTAATAATTAAAAATTTCAGCATTTTTTAAATAAGAAATTCCACTAAAAGAAAGCAATTTTACCTTTTTTTTTTAAATTCTCACTTTCAAAATCTTTACAAAATGAGTTAAGTAAGCTCTGGTTTATTTTATGTCTCACATTTATCATAAAATATCAAGAATATATTCGACAGTATAATTAATGAGAAAATTTTAAGAATTAAGGTAGAAAAAAAGTGATAAAAGGGTCGAATTTGTTAATCTTTTTAAAAAAAATAATAGCTAACGTATTTTTAGAATTCTAAAAAGATGCAAAAGTACTCGTTGAAGCTTCGACCACACGTGATCAATCAATCTTTCCTAGACGCAGATTCAAGGATGTCAATTAATTGGCTTCAAAAATCGAAGAACTAAAATCACACATGTTATAGGAATAAACAAATAGTAAGAATTGTGTAATTAAACTTTTAATTTAAATATTATAAATAAAAAATATTTTTATTTTTACCTAGTTATATTTAAAATAACTTGAATTAGTCAAGATTTACCGTGAAGCTTAAATATCAAAGATAAAAAATATAAGGTATTCTTTAAATACGAAATCTTCTAAATAATATAAATCTTTTTGGGGAGATTGAACTAATTCACCGACACATGAGTTGCGTCACATAAATAGTTAAGAAATTAATTTCTTAAACTTCAATTACAATGATAGTTTTTCATAATAAAAATAAGTTATAGTTGATGGACCTTTTCCTCCAATTAGTTTCTTCCTCATACAAAAGTAAGTTGGAGTAGTTAAAAAATGGTGATCCAAATTTGTTCTAAGACTATTCATGTAGTTGAATCGATCAAACACTGTATTTCTGAAAAAAAAAAGTAGCCATTAAGCTACTTCATAGCCGAATAATTATTCTCTAAGCTTTTAAAATAAATGTCTTTGTTAAAAATATTAACTTCACCAGTTTATATTATATTAGAAGACTACTTTCTAAAATTTAAAACTTACATAGAATCTTTTATTATCCATAATATTTTAATAAATTTTCGATTTCCATATTACACAATTATATATCTACTATTTTTAATTATTAAGAAAATATTTTACTTTTATATGAAAATTGTAAGAGTTTAAAATTAACTAAAATGGTAAAATAACAATTTCTTATCAACATATATTCGTTTGTGCATGATAAAAAAACAAAGAAGCATATATTTTATATTATTTTTGTATTTATTACTTAAATTTCAGAACTAATTTATATATATATAAAGTTAGATTAGGAACTTTCAATTCATAAATTTTACGATAAAACAATTTAATATCAGCCCTAGCTAACAGGTATTTTTTTCTTTCAAGATAGTCTAAGCCTAAGACATCATTTGAAGCCGAGAAAAAGGATATAATCTAGTTGTAAAATCCATTGAGGTAAAATTTGGATTTGAGTATAGTAGGACATTTCTATAATAAAAATTATCCTTAGTGCAATTGTAAACTGATCATTTTTAGGTATGAATAGTTTATATAAGATATAACCACTTTCAACATAAAATTTTAAAATTTAATATTTATGTATTTTAATTTTTTTTATATGTGACTTCACTTTCTATTTTTATTTATGTAAAACTTTCAATTCATACTTAAAGTTTATTATCTTAATGTTGTATTCAAGTATACATATTTAACAATAAAGTTAAGATCTTAAGTCATAAAAAAATATCTCTTTAGTTTAAATGATTTTTGTTTTTAAAAGAAAAATAAATATAAGATCTTAAAAGTGATGTAACATAATAAAAATTATTAGAATAACTCGTATTATAACTATGCAATAGAGATGTTTTTAAGTTATATTATTAATGTATTATACTTTCTAAATTTATTAAACCCTAGTGAGACTTGTATTCCTTTTTTTTATATATATATGTAGCACTTTATATATGTACTATGTGCAAATAATAGAAGATGGGGTATAGTTGTAATGTGAGTTAATTCATTTCTACAAACCAACTTTTAAGATAAAGGAGGTACTTTTATTTATAATTTGTATTTTCAAATTTGATCTACAGCTATGTGACATGTAAATTTTCCTTAACATCCTCATGCATCTCCAACATTAAGTTTGATGAGTAAATAATATAGCGAATGACATTTCTATTGTAGAAAAAATACTTTAATATTATCTTATAAATTTTTGTTTTGAATTAAATATTGTAAAAATCAGTTATAAAGTACAATACTCTTATAGAGTTTTAGGTGAGATTTGTATATTTTTTTTCTCAATATACTCTTATGCATTTTCAGTATTTAAAAAAAAAAAGTCTTGTATTAATTTTTTGACTTCCAAAATATTTAACATTAAGATAGTATTTTTAAGATGGATAATAAAGGTAATGAGTCTCAAACACATGAAGTTGTGGATCTCATAATGGTGTTATCAGCCAACAGATATACTACATCTTTATTTTATCAATACGCTAGCAATATCTTTACAAGAACGTATCACATTTTCTTGTTATAATGCTATCACATTTTAATCTTATATAGGTAATTAAAGTAAATGTTATTCTATCAAGTAATTGTATGACTATGTATGTTAAGGTGTACAATGGATTATGTTTTAAACTTTCAACATTTTTAGTAGTGTAGCAAAATCTGTAGCTATTTCAATTTTATATTTCATTCAGACTAAGCTATACACAGTAGAGTGTTATCATAGAGGTCCAAATCAATATGACAACTTTGATAAGAATATGTTTGCCAAGTCCTGCACACATTATATAAACATACTCACTCTTTATTAAACGCCAACAGGATTTTTTTTTTATACTAATAATTCCTATTTCATAATTCATTATATGAATAATATTATCCTAATAAAAGTGAACTTAAAAAAAATAGAGTAATGTTAAAGGTAAAAAGAATTTGAAGTGTTAAAATATCAATATTGTCCAAATCTTATCTTCAAGTCCGATGTTCCTATGTTCTAAACTTACTATCTCCCATTTTGTCTTATCTGTTGTGTCAAACCAGTTAGCCAAAGATTTTATGGAGACTATAAAAAGCACAAACACCAATCACAGTATGAAAAAATGATTTTAGGAATTTAGTTTTTAACCAGACAAAAACTTTTACCTAAGTCATACAAAATATATCATTCTTAGAAATCACTTTGTTTATGTGATTCCATGTTATATGCACTTCCAATTCGTGTTTCTTCATACCAGTTAACTTTTACTATACCTAATGGATTAAAATTTTTGAAATCTTATTAATTCATCTTCCTTACTAATGATTCATCCTATGATAAAATCTATACTTTGTGATCGTAGGATGACATGTCGCCTCCATAGGTGCATGTATTGCATACTACATCATTTCCTTCTTTGACCTTCAAATTTGATAGTACCAAAACCCACCACGTCTATTTTGATGCATAATTAATATACAATCCAATCATCTCAAAATCAAACATGTAATTATGTTGGGTATTGTCGGCAATTAATTAATCTGTACATCTTTACAGATTTATACACAGCCGGTCACTGCATATTTAGAGAAGTTTTAAGTCTAGAAAATATTTTACCGCCTTGTTAATTATTCAATGCTTAGAAATGGATAATAGATCTTAATCTTATTAGACATTGATACGATGAATGAAAACTTGTTATATATTGAAAAAAAAAATGTTATGGTGATTCACTTATATGGATAATGAACGGATAATCCGAAGCAAGGAGATGTGATGAGTGAGGAAAAGATCCCTTTGATGAGTAGGTAATGCAGTTTGAATTAGGGTTAGAAAAAAGTGAAATAGAATGAGAAAGATGAAGAAGGTGTGGGAACACGATGATGATGGATTGGGAAACGGAATATAGAAATATGTGTATGTATTGCCGTCGAAAGTGGAGGTGAAAAAACTTAAGAGGTGCAGAGGTGGTTGGGGCATTCGAATAATGATGTTTTCCATGAAGGAATTGGTTCAATAATTTAGTGACAGGAGCAATGTTAATTTGCTTACATAGTTCATACCCCTTTTGGAAAGTGGGAATGCTCATTGTGCCACTTGCGACTTAGCACACAAATATATTTAGTTTATAGGTTGACCTGCATGGTTGTGCAATCTGGGTCCGCATGTTCGCCACTCAACCAAATCTTCTTTCATGTCAACAATCCTTAACTCCATTTCACTTTGCATCGCACAAAACCACCCTTATAATAATTCTTCTTCTACTATATTCTCCATTCTCCTTTTCAAGTTTAAGTCTGTTCAGAGTTTAATTATCGTAATTTCGACCTAAAACGAAGCAGCCTCAGTACATTCAATGTTTTATGAGAATGAAGTAGACCTTTGTAATTGGTATTGCTTGTGTCTCTTCATGTCCTGTATGATTCCCACAACAGTGAATCCATAATGCAGAATTTCTGCTGCCTGCAGTTGTATGTGGCAGACAAAATTAGGGTTTTCCCACAACGGAGAACAGTTAAGTTGTGTTAAGAATTTGGACCACGATTATTATAAAAACTAAGAGTCAGTATTCGCTGTGGGTCCAAAACTATCAAATATTGTGGGCGATGATGATGCGCACTCATGCACCCACCACCTTCACCTTCTTTAATTATTATATGCTGTTATGTAATTTAGCTCTGATCAAATTTTATATCTCGTCATCATCTTCCACTTAATTACCATTTCCAAAGAAAACAAAGTTTTTTCAAAGACGTTTAATTTCAGAGTGATCGAGAAAATCATCATGTGTGGTTCGTCCGATTC